GTTTCGTGGTTCAACATTTTCAAAGGCTGTATCTGTATTATTTCTCACTCGTATTATATACCTTTCCATTGTATGTAGTCGGTCTCACAAATGTACATGTACACACACAACGGCGATTGGGTTCTGTCTCTCTCACTCATATATTCCGAAACAAATAAAGACTAGTCGCTAAGATGCACGAAAGCTATAGACTAGCGCTCTTCGCGCAGAAAAATACGAACTATAAAAGAGAACTGCGTACTGCGTGAATATTTTATCGGCCGCGCTTGGTTTGCTCAGTGTGTGTAATTGAAATTTTCATCGAAATAAAAGTTCAAAAAAATTTAATTATTTTTAGTTTAACACTTGTTATTTTCAAAAAGTTGTTTATGAAGAATTTTTCATGTGTGGAATTCCACACATGAAAAATTCTCATGTGTGGAGTACTCCACACACACCCCACAAAAGTCGCCGCCCATGTGCTCTATTCTCTGCAAAGCAAGATGGATCGAACATCGACGCGACTAAAAAGTGGGGGGGTAATCGAACTCGAAACTAGGTCGCGACCGTTCGATCAGCGCCGACGACAGCCAACCTCGATGCGCCGGTTTGAATTTTTTTTCTTTTTTGAGTTTTTCTTGCTTTCTGTGGTTTCCGAATTCGTACCACAGTTTCTTCTACATTTCGCTGTTTGGTAAACTGGCGAATAGTTTGTAATCGCGATCCTCTTTTCCCGGAACATCGCTTCGAAACGTCGTGCAATAGGAAAAACATAGAGGATGGCTTGTAACTACGTCCGAATAATAATACAGCGAATACAAATGAAACACATTGTACATTCTATTTGAGTTCACGAGTACTGTATTCCAGCGTGGACTCTTTGATATTCCTACAAAATAACAACTTCGAGGAATAGCTTCAATCGTCACAAAGGGACTGTGCGCTGTCGCGGTTGACAATTGTAGAACAAACTTGTAATATCTGTTCTGTCAGCTTGAGAATATGAAAAAAGAAATTTTAGAAATTAATAACAAACCGTAAAAGAAAGCACGATAAATAGAAAGTATATATTTTTGTCTTTTCAGTAATGGAGGTGGAATTATTTAAGTGCAAATATCTGAACAGTAATATCAGAATTATTCCCCGGCAAACTACTTTGCATAGATAAAAACAAACGTGTATGAATAAGTACAAATATGTAGAGTGTATCAGTAATTGCCTTGGTTTCGATCGATACAATTTTATCGTGATATTACAGAAATAAATCGGTGCGTCGCCATAAATTAAATAGGGAAACCATTCTTTCTTTGCTTCTTTTGGGAAAATAAAGGTGATTCCATTTTTTGCGAGCGTGTCCTCAATTCTTAAAAGGCGCCGCGCAAGGCGAAAAGTGCGTCGCGTTAATTATTTTTCTACGTCTAATTAAAGGTGTCTTGGAGACGCTCGCCAGTGCACCGGATGCGGCTTGCGTAGCCGTGCCTACGGCTGGCCCCGTATGTTAATGAATCTTCCGAGGTCAGAAGAGCTCGGCACTAACGGTCTGAGTGCAGACAGCGCGGCGCTGGTCGATAGATTATGACTCCGGCGAGTCGAAAGCGGCTGTGCGAGCGGCAGTAACGATTCTCGCGAAACGCGACAAATGGCGTGTACAGCGTTGGCGTGCATCTAAATCACCCATGTCAGGCTCTCCCCGTACTCAGAAATGCGTCGCTTTCGGTATCGCGCATGCGGATGTAAAACCCATTCCCGCTTAAATGCATCGGTAATTACAATTGGCCGATATTCCGCCGGCTATCGCGAGATCAAAGCGCCGCGCTTCCGCGCTTTGTTCGCGGAATCGCGAACGCGATGAAATGAATTTACATGCCGCGTTGTTGTTGTCGCCGTATAAAAACTTAATCATTATCGTTGACGCCGTTGAGGTGACACCTTTACGCGCGGCATCGTTGTTTACCGGAATAAAGCAGCTCCGATTTCGCAATATCGTCAAAGCGAGCGTGTGCGATGTTTTGTCTCACGCAAATGTGCGAAAATGCAAGGGGAAACAGTCGGTCCGTAGGTGTCGAATTTCCGAGTAATACGCATTAGTATGTGCAGCATTGCAAATCCACATGCAGTATACAAATAGCGAGCGATGATATCGGCTTGCATCGTCGCGTGACACCTTTCTTTGCGCGTCGCGGCACAAATCCGACGCGCGAGCGCGCCTCGTAAGAGCGCGTCTCTCGCGCCTCATTTCGCGAACGCTAGTTCGCGCACTAGTAAGAGGAAGAAGGACTCGAACAGCGCACGAATCGCTCTCGGCAAGCGGATAGCTTGGTCGATGAAACACGGCCGTTCGGCCGATCCCCGTCGCGTTATCCTTGAAATTCAGGTCGAGCTGTGCCCGTCGGCAAAGATCGCGCAGACTTCCTTCGAGAAGCCGCCTCCTCGAAAAAATTCGCCTACATGCCCGCTCAGCTGATCGCACGGCCAGCGATTATATTTCGGGGAATGCAAATGTTCGCACCTCGGCGGGGAGAGAAAGTGATTGTCTCTGAGATGTATGTACGCGTAACACTTTCCGAGCCGCGAAACGCTTCACGTGCAAAAGGCGTCCCGTGGTTTTTAACGCCTCGTGATACAGCGAGTTTAGAATTCGAGCAGAATGTATCTGAAATTAGAAATTTTTTTTTAATAGAAAATAAAATAGTATTTTTACAATTTATCTCTCGCTGTACGTAATATTTAAAATATACTTAAGTGTAGATATACATAATATTTAAAATATACTTAAGTGTAGATGTGCAATAGGTATTTTTGTTATTTCTGCGAAAATGAAGCGAATTAAATTTGCACGTGTAACTTGTACGCGGGTACTTTACAGCGCTGGATACGTTTATGTATAATATTGCGGCTCTACATGCCTCGGGTGACATTATAAACTTCCACGGACCGCGCGCGCTCGTTACATATTCAAATTATTTCCGCGGAATCAGTTATCGTCGGCGGAACTAAAAGTATAGCCAGGCCGCGGTACGTTCGCGGCACAACTCCATATTCATTCTCCGCGCCGGGCTTATCGACAAGATCGCATACTTCGCCCTAAGCATCGATTATGAGCGTGGCGAGGTATATCCTGACGTCATCTACGATGCCGACAGGAAATAGAGAGTGGAGGGTACATAATTTAATAAAAATTTATCGGCTTATCAAACAAACAAATTCTAAGCTGTCATCCGCACTTTTATTCCGATCCGCACGAGCGAGATAAAAAACTGAACGCTCCGAGTGCTCGATAATCTCGCATCTGCGTGATCTGAGGGCGCTGCGCAATTAATGATGCAAAAAAATTGAATCTAGAACAACAAAAGTATTATCTAAAGTCTCTTTTTTTTTTGCTCTCTCGAGAAAGGATGAAGAAGAGATAAGAAAGCACTGCGTCACGATGACCGCGCGTCATCAGCAATGATTACGCGATTGTTAATTCCGCCGTGTAATTAAATTAAAAAAGATGGTGTGACAAGAAACTGCCGGGTAGTAATCTGCGGCATTTTAATGATGTTTTCCTATGCAATTAGACGGCGGCAGCGGCGGTGGCGCGGAGAGCAAATACCAGGTGTCCGCAGATAGAACTCGATATTGTCGCGATGATGTCCGTCACCGAGTCAGCGGATCGTGTCACGTCTCTCGGCCTCGTCGCTACCGTCTGGACAGGAGAGATGTATTAGGAACGCACCGTGCCTAAACTCTTGAAAGTTCCCGCGCGTTCGCTCGCGTATATAATTTCGCCGCGACCGGTTGTCGATCAAGCGCTTTCGTAAGAAACACCTGCGAGTCATTATCCCTTGCCTACCTTGGCTTTCCCCCGGCGATTCGATTTGCCCGCGCGCAAAAGAAAAAAAAAACCTTGCCTGCACACTCCGCTCACCGCTGTTCTAAGCAATGAATGGATTGTCGCTGGCTCTCCGGCGAGCCGCGCGCGAAGGAATGTGAAAGACACGTCGTCCGCTCGACGTTCGAGCGGACGAAATTTTGGCAAATTCATCGCGTCTCTTAGACACCGAGTGAAAGAGGCTTTCTCTCGGCTTTTCGGTTCTCGCGGCCGATGCACCGCGGATATCGTGCATCGGGAAAATCGCACCGCGATCTCGTGCGAATTTCTGCACCACCGGCGTTCGTACGAGTCGATAAAAATTAGCGGGATTTATGTAACAATCTAGATAGTCGTGATTGTAGGAGTGCATAAAGTAATTATGGAGATGTAACAGATTCTCGGTCGCGAATAAATTTGCATATTTTGCGATCCATGCGATCTGATCGCGTCGTCGGCACGAATCCGACTTGAGAGACTTAATATTCAGGACACTGGGCAACACATTCTGAACGGATTTCAAAGTGGTAGCGCAAACGCGCGCGAGCTTCGCTCCGGGCGCCGACTTTAATCGCTCACACACTCGCTGTTTGCTGTTGTGCCATTCTCCGGTAAACGCGACTCGGTAAAGACTGGAAATAGCGACGGAAACGGGGCTTCTTGCAGTTTATACCAGATATTTTAACGCCTCGACATCGTCGGCGACGTATACCCATAAATAGATGCTATATATTCTGCGTTGTGCATGCTTTCAGCGTATTTTCTACGTTGTCCGCTCGCATCTTCGAATCATGTCGCTGCGACGACAGCAAAATATCTTTCGAATATTTACGTGGACATTATAAATTAAATAAATTATCAAAGTTATATACAATATATAATATTTAATATATAATACATAATATTTTATATAGAAATAAAACGAAAGATCTTTTTGATTTGATTAGTGATTTTTCTCTCTCGTTTATTTTTTTTGCTAAATTATATATTATTCAGTTAAAAAATGATAAAATCTCAATGCTATAAAATAATATACGGCGTGACATTGTTTATGCGCCAGGATCGTAAATGAAAAATAAAACTTTTGCATTTTTAACTCGTACTCTTTCACGAAAGAAGAGGCCTATTCTTTACATCCACCTCTCACCGTCGTCATTTTGTGTTTCAGTGGTTTATTGTGATTATACCGCCTCGGGAAGGTCACTACAGTTTCTCGAAGATTACATCGCGAAAGAGGTACTGCCATGTTTGGGCGACACTCGGGCATCCACGTCCATCTGCAGTCTACAATCTTCTCTCTTTAGGTAAGCAATATTGGACAGTTTTAATCCTTCGGAAAAATAAATGTGCTCTTTGATTCGCGCAAAAGTTATATATATAAATTACTATGGTTGAAGTAACTGAAGAGAATTATCGCAATTTGTGCAATAATAAAATATATTTTATATCAAAATTTTTCTTTTATTTTATTAGTGTATAAATTTCAATTTATTTTTCAATTTTTTATTCATTTAACATGTCATTATTTTATGTGAATACTGGTCGTGTGTTTTACTGCATTCTCAGTTTTGCGAAAAAGGAGCTTGTTCCGGGGAATAATAAAATATCCTCATTCGTTCGCTCGCTCGCTCATTCAAGCCATCGATTAATCTTATTCATATTTCACTCCAATATCAAGTAACTGGGACACCGCGGCACTAAACAGACTTCCACATACGTTTTCCACTCATTTATTATTACATGCAGATAAAGCTGGACGCGGCGCCGCGTTATTCACGTTTTAATTTACAATTAAATCAGTTTATCGCGCGCCGTAATTTCTGGCACGATCTTTCCGCCCATTAAAGCGCGATCCCGCCGACTTGTGATCGCGGCGACGATTTTACGCGTCATTGTTTTGTTCGCCGTGTATCGACTTAAAAAGACACATCTGTGCGTCTGGAAAGTTTCTCGGGCACGACATAAATTTAATCAGCCGGCGCGCGCGATGCCCGCGCATATATATTCATTAAAAGACGGCCACCGCGATGAGGAGCGTGTCGTTTATTTGTTATCATCGGCGTTATCGCCGCCGACAACTTTCAACCGTGGCGGCCCAAAGAAATGTAGACCAGTCGCCTGTAAATCCCGCTCGGCCGGGTCAGCTGTGTGAAACGGTCTCGTCTCGACTATCCTGTTTACTGATGCGCCGATGTCCCAGATCAATATCCACCCCCTCGAAACCGCGATATTTGCCCTGCGGCCGATGAAAAGACTGAAATAATAATGACGACACATACGAGACAGATCCATCATGCGCCGAACGACAAGTTCGGAGATGTAGAACGTGTAATAAATTTCTGTAACTCGCGAGTTTATCATCAATCCCTCATGGCTTATCTAAAATAACGCGACAGCATTTTTGAATAATATACGCTACTTTGCGAAAGTCATATTCGTTTTTTTGGTAATTAAATGCACGCGCGCGAGGAAAAATCAAAAGGTACTTTTGATTAATTTGAGAATTGAAAAAGTTTTTTTTACGTTTTAAAAAAGTTTTTGACTTTCCTCGTACAACGAATTGTAATGCTTTGAAATCTACAATCTACAGTTTACAGTCGGTAACCGTTTAATTGAAAAGGATACATCGATCGGATGAGCATATATTTCATACGACAAAAATAGCTATTTAAGTGAAGCGTTTAAAAAGTAATTAAATTTTTATTTAATCGCTCCACGTGAGGAATTACGAGCTGAAGCGGATGAATTTTATTTAAGGCTACATTCACCGTATCGCGGAATCGATAGAACTGTGCAAACTGTAGGGTGTGTATTATTTCTCAACCTATGTCTCTTGTCTCACGTCACGCGCCACTAAATCCATATTGACTCTGCATCAATTGCACGAGCACAGAGACACACGTGTCCGCCATATCGAGCACACCGTACATACGGTTCTATTATCTGAATCAGCAATCGCGTCATCGTCTCTAAAGTATGCTAGAAAACCACACACACACGTAAACTGTCATAACGTTTCGCCGAGGTGGCGAGGAGCCGATCGGCGCTAACAAACTCTTTGTCGCCGATTACGAACTGGAAAATCAAACACTGATCTGTATGCGTTTACGTTCACAGGCACGAAGCCAGAGACATCGTCAGACACGCGGTTGGAGCCGGCGAGCAGGATGCGGTCCTGTTCACGGGTCAAGGCACCGCCGCTGCCCTTCGCACACTTTTACGACATCTCGATCTCTCGAAATCCACCGTGGTCTTCGTGGGTCCGTTCGAGCATCACGCCAACCTGAGGCCTTGGCGCGAGCTCGATGTCAAGGTAGGACAGCCGGCGAGATAAATTTCGTGTGAAGAAACCGAGCGGCTGATTCGAGCGCGAGATAAAACGGGAAGCAGGCGGTGAGTGCACGCGCGAAGTGCATCGTTAAAGCGAAACGTGACGATTGGTCGTAGAAAATGCGTGAGATCAAATAGTACGCAATATAAACGCAATGTAGCTTTAGCCCGAGTTTTGGCAGCCCGCCAAGCCGCTCGCGTGAACGGCCGTTCCTCCTCTAAATCGTAATCTTACACATTGTTGCAATCATCTTTTGTTATCCAACGCGCTTCTTTCGAGATCAAAGAGTTTAGATGTGAGAAGATTGATATATTAATCTATAAATATAATGGACATTTATATATTTATCGTGGAACACGGCGGCTCGGCTTTTATCGCCGTCAACGAATTCGTCAACACATTTCATCATAACCCTGAGATATTCCGTATAAATAATTCCAAGGCGGCTATGTGATTTTATCAAATGTCCTTCGATCAAAAATAGCTGAAATTAGCGCTTTCCGCCGTTGAGTCGCGGATACACTTGTCGTCTCGGTTGCCACGGCGTTGATCATCGCGTCACATCGCTAATGAAGCGATTTGAACCGCTTTACAGATAATACGGGTTTCCGAGACCCGCGAGGGCTTCTTAGATCTGAACGATCTCGAGCGTGGGCTCGCGCGAATGCGGAGCGAGGGCGTTGCGCAAATGATTGGATGCTTCAGCGCGGCCAGTTGCATAACAGGGGTTTTGGCAGATGACGTCGCGACGACCCTTCTGCTGCACCAATACGGCGCGCTCAGCGTGTGGGATTACACCACCGCAGGTAAGGTGATCGTGAGCACGATCGAACAAGCGGCGAGAGAGAACCGGTTGCGAGCCGATGCGAATTATAACCGCCGCAATGCGATCTCTCTGGCCTACGACGAGAAAACAAGCGGCTAATTAACAACGGAACGCAAAGCCCTATCCAGAATATCACTTTGCTAATATTGTGTCACGCTAATTATTTCGATGGAAAAGTTTTTACACGGCCCGAGGCGTCCGCGCCAAATGTCGTGCGAATGATGGCGTTTCGCCATATATCGACAATATGTCGTAATCAATAAAATATCGATAATTTATCTTTATGATGGAGATAACGTTAAAGATCATTATTCGTGACATAATGTCTTTTACGTAAGCGTTCCCGTCGTCGTTATGCAATTCGTTGTTAAGACGAACGAATCTCGTCAATCGTTATTCATCGCGTTTGCAGCGCCGTGCATTCAGATCGACATGAATCCGCATCTGCCCGGAGTCGGCGAGACCGCGGTGCACAAGGACGCCATCATCTTCGCGGGCCACAAATTCATCGGCGGCGTGCAGTCGCCCGGTGTGCTCGTGACGAAGCGATGGCTCCTGCGGGAGGACGTGGAGGTGGAGGACATGAGGGACTCCCACCGTTATCATCGCGATCCCGAATTGCGGGAGGAGAGCGGCACCGCCGGCGTCGTCGAGAGCATCAGATGCGGACTGGCGGTGCAGCTGAAGGAGAACGTCACGCCGAGAGCGATCGTCGCACGGCAGGATAAGATATCCAGGTGACGCCCCCCCCCCCCCCCGCGCCTCCGCAGCGCGGTTACATGACTGCGAATGCGCGATCGCGCGAATTGTATAAGAGATATCGGTCATTTTTTCGTCCACCGTCCAGGAAACAAATGCGATCGTTTCGAGTAATTTCTTGCCGCAAATTTCTTCCTGTTCACGAGCGCGCCGCGACTCGTAGAAAGCGGCGAAGAGCTGGTACTTCTTTTTTTTCCAGATTTTTTTTATGGAGCATTGTTCGTGCACAAATTCGTTCACAAAGATATTATGCATGCAAATGCAACATGTGTGTCTTACGTTAATATTATAAATATTTTAATTGAAATTATGTAATTCGAAAGATCGCAGAAATCCGGTAATAATCTGTATACATCTGTATAATTACCTAAAATGACAATCAAGCGTAATGTTAATGATCGTCCTGTTCTCCGCAGGCAAGTTTTAGCCCATGTGCGCACAATTCCGGAATTGATCCTGCTCGGCAGTTCGTCGCAGAACGTGAAGCGACTGCCCATCTTCTCGTTTATGGTGCGCCATCCCCGCGGCACGTTTCTACACCATAACTTTGTTTGCGCCGTTCTGAACGATGTCCTCGGCATTCAGGCGCGAGGAGGATGCGCCTGCACGGGTCGTTACGCTCATGACCTGATGGGAATCGACCGGGAACTCGCCAAGGAGTATGAAAGCATTCTCCTGGAAGGGTATGCATTCGTTAACATTTTATTGCGACGCGTGATCGCGCAAATTGCATACGAAATATTGTTTTTTTTTCCCCGCACCGTTCAGGAAACAAATCCGCGATCGTTTGAATTAAAGATTGAAATCTCTTCATTTCCGATATAAAATCCATTTTCCTGTTTGTACTGCATAAATCGAGTCTGACTCGTGTTCCATTTTGACGCCGATTAAATCTGACATTTATATCAACAGAATTTGTTTTTTAAATAAACACGGAGATCGCCAGGCAGCGGAGTCCCATACGAATGATATCGATTTCGATGAGTTTTAATCGCCGCTTTCATCGTTTCACATATGTATGGAACAATATGACCGCGTATGCGAAAGGTTACGTGTATCGCACGGATCTCGGCGAAGCAGGAAGTGGTTGTCTATTAAACTTGAGCGCGGTGTAATTTCGTGTAATCAACACACGTAGAAATAGACGTTACGTCAACCGCTCGCGACTTGGCGCAAGACTCTATTTTCGCAAAAATATCGTGTGTACGCACGTAATTGAGCACGCGCCATTTTATTTTAGACAGCGCAATGGTACCGAGGAGACCACCGCGGAGGGCCTGAGGCCGGGCTTTGCCAGGCTGGCCTTTCCCTACTTCATGAGCGAGGCGGAAGTTGCCTTCGTGCTGGAGGCGCTCAAGATGGTCGCAACCGAGGGCTGGAAGCTGCTGCCGCAGTACGTGCTGAATGCCGACACCGGCGAATGGCGACATCACACCAACAGCGTCTTCAAGGAGCGCAAGTGGCTGGGCTCGATCAGGTACACGGACGGCAGAATGAACGCCACGGAGAGACGCGTTTCTGGCTCCGGCATCTTTCCGCAGACCTACGGCGATTGCCTGCAGACTGCGCGGAACATCTTCAATCGCGCGCGCAAAATGGCGCAGCGGTATCCGCTGCAGATCGACAAGAGCTTCAACTTCGCGTGCGAGCGCATGGAGGCACGGCGCTGGTTCATGCTGCCGAGCGAGGCGCAAGACCTCCTCCTAGGCAATTCGCAGAACGTGAAGCAGGACGTGCCGTTCAATCCGCTGCTGGCTTGGAACAGGTTTAGCCACGTGAATTCCACTTGTCACGACAGTCTGGTGAACTGCCTGGCGCAGACCACCAGCGGTATGAGACGACTGAACAGCGACATTCCGCGTACGGGCAACCCGCCGATCTCGATGGCCTCGCCGAGGCATCGAAGCTTGCCGGCGCTGAGCACGGTCAGGCGAACTATCATCACGGCTGAATTGAGCCAGCTGTCGTCGTCGAGCAACAGCGAGGAGGAGAGCCCGAGTCAGAACGAGCAAAGCGTTTTCTCCGGGAATCACCGATCGCCCGCCACGTGTCCCAATTCGCCGATGCCGGTGAGATTCGCGGTGGGCGAGGCCGTGACCACCTCGGTTCTGAGATCGATATCCCGTGTAGCCGCCCGACCGACGAAGGAGCAGAGAGAATTGATGGACGCGGCGAATGCGGGACGCGCGAGGTGCAATTCTCTCGGCAGCACCACCGACGGGTGCAACGTTCCCGGAAATCGCGTCGGCGCTACGTCGGCGTCCTCGCCGATACCGCCGCTTCCGCTAAGCCCGCAGACACTGACTAGCTTGGGACTCAGCACGTCGAATGCGCCATCGAGACAGAGACGTCTCCACTGCAGCTGCAGTAGTCAGACGGAATTGAACTCTCTGGAATTGGATTCCGCCGCCAGCCCGAGTCACTCGATCATCTCGTTGAGCTACAATCACAATCCGGCGTCGCCGCCGTCTTCGTATTCGTCGACCAGCGACTACACCGAGCGGCTCGTAGGTGGCGGAAGATCCTCACCCATCTCGACGAGCGTGAGCCAGAGATCCGAGGACGATCTGAGCGCGTATGTAAAGGAGGTGACGAAGGAGCTAGCGACGGAAATAAAATCCGAAATACGAGAGGTGATTTCTAAAGTGGACGACGCCTTGTCGGAAAGCAACACGTCCGAGAACACGCCGCAGCATCATTCCCGAGTTCAGAGCATGGTGAATCAAACATTCATGGAGGACAAGCAGTCGAGGCACGACTCGTTCACAGCCAGCGATATCGCCGAGTACTTAATGGAATTCTCGAAGGAAATGGCGAGCGAAGTCAAATCCGAGATAAGGTATTTCATTGTTATTAATAATATAAAGGTTAAAAATTATTTGCAATATTAATACAGATCGATACGAAATATTTAAAAATATTTGAAATGACATTTATTCATGGATCTTTGTAAACTTTTCAACAGATGCATGGTGAATGCCGTTGACGGCCTTCATAGGTACTCGCCAGACGCCTCCACTTCAGATGTATCTTCAAACGGATGCGGCTCACCCGATCGAGGGAGAATCATATTGCCCTCGTCGGCGTCTCCGCGTCTGTCGACTTCGAGAAAAAGTGGCCCGATCGAGATAACCAGCAAAGTCGGCGAGCTGTCGCAGCAGGAAAGCAAGATGTCCAGCGAGTGCTCGTCGGACGAGACGGTTATCTACGTGATGAAGCCATCCGAGAACGAGCAGATGGTGCGCAGTCGCTCGAAAACCGAGGACGAAGAAGTCGAGAACGATGTGGACGATTACGTGGACGACGATTCGCAGGAAGGACGTGGCGGCCTCGATATCGGCGACTCCCGTAAAGTTCTGCCCAAGATCTACTCGGCCGTGAACTCGGTCAGTTCTCAGGACAGCGGCATAAATCTGTCGTTCCACGAGAGTGACAAATCGATAGATTCGCTGGACTTGAAACGAAGCAGCAGCGCCGAGTCAAATTCTGCCAACAGTCACGGACGAAAATCCAGGACGGCGTCAATGGCCAGTTTATCGACGAAGAACGGCGGCAAGCAGCAAACGCGTCAGAATGACAATCTCTCAGAGGATGAGGAGTGCACGAGCGATTTGAGGGAGGAAGAGGATGACGGTCAGGAAATCAAATCCGAGGACAACGAGTCCAGACTCGAGTTCCCGCGGACTCAGTGGCACTGTCCGCCGAAAAATATTTGGAAACCTTCCGTGGAAGCCATGCAGGAATTTGACATGATTCGGGACAGCGACAGAGTGCTGGTTTGTTTGTCGGCGACTGGCAAGGACTCGCTCTCTCTTCTGCACACTCTTCATCAGTACAGATTTTACGCCCGATCGAAGGGGATCGACTTCGAGATCGGCGCGGCCACCATTGACGCGGGTGGTTCCGATCCCATGGAACTGATGAGTTATCTAAAGGCCCTGGACGTCCCGTACTTTTACGAGGAACAGGTGACAGATCCAAGTGGTGCCAATGCCGACAATCCGTTGGACGCCAGCGTCGCCAGCGGCACCTGCAGTTTCTGCGACAAATCGGTCAGGACGCAATTGTACTCTTTGGCGAAGCGGAAGAGATACAACGTGCTGGCGCTAGGTCAACATTTGGACGACCTCACGGAGAGTTTTCTCATCTCGGTGTTCCACGGCGGTATGCTGAAAACCATGAAGGCGCACTATTACATACGCCGAGAGGATCTCAGAGTCGTCAGACCATTCATCTACGTTCGTGAGAAGGCACTCAGGCAGTTCACTGAGAGCAAGAAGCTCGCAGTCTCGCGAGAACAAACACCGCATTTATCAGAGGTAAATTTTAAATATTATGAATATTATATCTGTTACCTGCTCCATCTTACGGAAGGAAAAATATTCTACCATGATTATGTGGAAATTTCTATTCATCTTCATGTGAATTCAGCAAGATGGATTGTAATCAAGCCGCTACGCCACGTTTAATTTATTAAAACTGTTTTAAGAAAATCACATTTTATTTAACAATTCCGCATAACTTCGGTACAATTTTCTTTACTCTTTTCCCCTCTACGTTATAGAAACAAAACAAGAGGAAGGAATTGATGCTGCAACAGGAGCGCGCGTATCCGCGGCTGCACTGGTCCGTGCGCACAGCTTTGCGGCCCCTGATAACAGCCCACGGACAGATCACCGCCTTCGACTTAGCCTGCACCGGAAATGGCGGTGGTAACATTGTCAACAGTCCGAGCAGCAGCACTATCAGTAGCATAAGCAGCACCTGCAGCAGCAACAGCGGCAGCAGCAGCAGCAACGGCAGCAATCAGCAGAAACGACATCGAAGAAGCAAGACGAATTCTTTGGCGACCACCCCTTCGTCGCAGCAAGCCGACGAGAACGACGAGACCGACGAGGAGCCTGTGCTCTGAGGAGGGCCTATCGCGAGATGGGATTCCGATCGTACCGCGGTCTCATCCTCGCGTGCCCGTTGCAGGCTGGCGACGTTCGCCCTTAGAAGAAGACGAATGTTCTTCGCGGCCCGTGCCGTCAGAGCCAACGATCAAAGATGCGCCGATCACAGCAATTGAGCAGTGATTTGATCGCGAAAGGATATCTTCGTCGTCGAACGACACGCCGTTGCGTTCGCGAAGAAAATTTCTCGCGTTTCTGGACGATATTCGAGTGATCGTTGCGCGACTCTCACGAGATACCACGCCGCGTCTTGCAGCTCGCCGGAATATGTAAAGTTTCTCTGGTAAAAGAAGTGGAAATCATCTATTCCTCGAAATTCTCAGTTAAAGAAGAAGAAATATTGATGTGAATTAGACGCAGTGAATAATCGTCAACTACTCGAAAAAAGAAAAAAAACAAAAAAAAAAGACTACCAATCGAGTTAATGATGATCTCAGATACGAGAAGTCTCGCCTTTCTGTAATTCGGAGGCGTTGTCGGAGGAAGAGCGCAGTCGGCTACTTATTTAAGCGGTGGTAATGTAGGGACAATATAAGCGTAAGTTCTTTTGTGTTTACGACGAAGTAAGAAAAAACGCTTGCTTGTGGATAGTTAAGCGTATCGGCAGCTGATCGCGCGACTGGCTGCTTTACGCGAGGACACGACACGATGATGATCGATCGACGAATCGACAAGAAGAAGTAGTAAACGGCGCGTCGCGCAGTAAAATTGTCACGTCGATCGCGTGTCATCACATCGTTCGCAAACGGAACGTCGCCGCGCGTACACGATTGAGGGACGCGATACGCTTGAGAGGCGCGATAAGCGGTAGGCTGCTTAATACTGAAACAGATATTATGTGTTACGTATCTCCTGGAGAAGTGGCCATGCAGCGAAAGAACACACCGGGGACAATTTCGTGAGGAGGTCAAAACCTTGACCGCTCCCGGCGTAATAAAAGATGGAGTCGCGAAACCAAGTATACCTTTTTTACACATATACACGTTTTTTATTTGATATATCGCCTTTGGCATCTAAGCGTTTAAGACCATTTAGTCGCGATCGAAACGTGGGAAGTTTCGTAAATGGGTAAATCTCGATTAAGTCCTTTTCTAACGGTATTTTTGACTTTCTCGAAGATACGACTTGACAGCGGGCCCATTTTTTTGCGGTCAGAAAAAATGCGCCCTTTAGACGGTCTATCGGAAGGATATTGATTTGCGTCATTTCGATTTATAAAAGTGATGGCGCGACCTTGTTAACGTCATTCGTTGCATCGTTTAGTCCCACTTTTGGAAAGCCCGATCGAGAACATTTCGTTTCGAAGACGCGAGAGGACCACATCGAGAGGTAAAGGTTTTGACGAATTTCCGCCTGCATGAACTTCGAACTTTGAAAGAGAGAGGCATAATTCACGCACGCACGCGATATGCGTAAGAAACTAACGCGTATGCTTTTCGCGGATAAAGCGTATCAAGACGTTGGAGAGTGTTTGAATATTTCCAAATGATATACACAAAATCTGATTGAGACGTCTGAATAATAATAATGTAAAGTACGTCTGAAAAACTGTAATGTCTTGTTTTCCGCGTTGGTACGATAAATACGAGAGGCTTGTAATGAAATATTAATTTAAGGATTTGTTAGATGGGACAAGTTCTTTGTATCTATCGGACAGATATTTAGCGATCTCCGATGTTTCAAGTTATAAAACGAAGGCTCTCTCTCTCGACTAGCATCACCGATAACGCGATGATACAATAATAAAATTGCGCTTTCTTTTCACCGCGTAACTTCACTTATTCGCGATGCAGCTGCGGTTCCACGCTGCTTACGATCGATAAGTTCAAGTTTCGATATAAAAAAAAAAAGTAATGACGGTGGACGATGAATGAATTTGCTGAGATAAGACTCCGGTCGCACCGGAAGCGTGTAATAATGTGATAAAGTGTTGATAAAAAATAATTAGATAGAGTAAAGTGCTGAATCTTTGATACGAAAGTGTGAAGTTCAATTTTGCCGCGTCGAAGATCTATCAAATTACTCTAATGCTTCGATTAATGATAAGCGGGACTAGAGCCTGGTTGCGACGATAGTCCGATCAATTAATTCCGGATTGACGATCCGTAATTCTGTTGTAGATTATAGATAGAGCCTATCAGATAAAGCGATGAAATCACACTAATCCGGGCTATCGATAATTGACATCGACGCAACACAGCTTTCGTCACGCAATGAAAACACGTGATGTTGTACAGAAAGGATTCCTGTAAGGATTATTTCGTCAGATGCGGGTTAGGATTGACGTGATAATAAGGGAGGAGGGGGGGGGGGATAAATAATGTTACATGGTGGAAAGAAAGTGCGCACAATTGGACCACGTAACGCCAGTCGAGAAGATCGGCCGGATGATGTAAGGGAGTGTAAGAGGATGATCCGAAGAAAACCGATGTCAAGATTTGCAAGAGGACATCCGATAAAAAAAAAAAAAAGTCCGTAAGCCGATAGGCACCGATCGCTATGTCGATTTATGATACCTTTGTAGCAGCAGTGGTCTTGTGTTGTTCACTTTTTCTCTCATGTTCGGCTGTTGTACGCTCGCTAATCGTTTAGGACTATAAGTAACGTTTAAGACTTGTACGTAGATCGCATGTGAAACAAAAAAGGAAAAAAAAAGAATTAAGAAAACGTACACAATCGTAGACGATGATTGTATAAAATAATAATATGTACGTACCGTTTGTGTCGTACTGAATTTTTTAAAGTGTTCGTTCGTTCATTCGTTCGTTCGTTCATTCATTCGTTCGTTCGTTTGTTCGTTCGTTCGTTCGTTCATCGTTGAATCGAGAATGTGAGAGGCGGAATTAACAACCAAATGCGATAAGCGAGGGGGGAAGTCTTGACTCTACACAAATCTTTGCGAATAGATATTCTCATATTTTCCGAGAGTTACGAAAGGGACATTGTTACTGTAAAGATATGTAAGTTTATTTATCGCTAATAAAAATGAACGTTTAAGAAAAAAGTACAAAAATGGCATTTTTTTACTTAGATCCTTATCCATACATCTAGTTTTCGTGATATATAATTACATATAATTTATATAATTACAATTAGATAATGTAAAAGAAATCCCACAAATATTTCAACTCTCGAAAAACGGCGAAATTGAGAGAAGTCTACTTAACCTAAAAAGGTGGTATAAACGAAAATTCCGACGATTGCGATTTGAAAAATTTTAGCTCCGTGATTTTGAAGTCTAAGAATTTAAATTGGAAAAATTTAATCTTTCAAATGTCAGCAAAATATCGGCGAATATAATCATGTGAAAGGTAGCACAAACGGGAATTCTTTGCACGGCGATTTCAAGAATTTTAAATCCGATCATTCGAATTGCAAAATCTTTCTTTTTAATATTCAGCAAAGTATCAGAAGAATTTATAAGTATCTAGCCGAAGAGTGAAAATGTGGGGATGATACTAAGAAAAGAATAAAATTATGAAAGGAAGAAAAATCACTTTTGCATAATTATTTGAATGAGGTAATTCTACAGATCGATGTTGTGCAAAAACATTGCGAACGCTTATCTCGCACTGAATGAAATCGCAATCACGTTATGCAGAATTGCTTCACAATCTTTGACAGATACGTCGGCGTAGAATAATGTGGATTTCGGGACATAAGTTGAAAGGGATTAAATTGCACAATGTTTTTTAGCGATTTATTAAATCCTTTAAAATATTTGAAACAGCGTGCGGCTTTGTTATTGGCGTAACAGTGATATAGTCGTTTAAGGTACGTAATACGAGGCCCGAGGAGAGCAAAGCGAGCGAAGATCGACGTGAGGTTCGCTCGCCCGTCAACTTGGAAAGACCGCGTAAAGTTCCGTGCTATCGATTCGACATTATGCATAATCATTCAGGATTGAGCGAGCGAGCGATCTTTCGGCTTCCCTTTTCCCTTCCCGTTTGCTCGGCGATCGCGCCATCGCCGACGCGCATGCTTCGGCGCGACCCGTTGAGAAGTTGCGGTGCGTTTGATCCTCTTAAGATTACTTTAGATGGAATATAACGTTATCTAGTATTAGACGAGAGTAAAATCGAGAAAAAGTCCACATACTTACGAGACGGAATTCATTACGATCTAGTCGATCTTACACGTTAAAGTTGCCCGGCGCGGCGTCGGGCGGCCTCGGAGAAAAGATAGAGCCGCGACGAGGCACCGCGCCGTTTCTGATATCGAAGCGATAGGATCGAGAATATGTGCGAAAATGAATAATTTATCTCAACTATGTTAACATTTCTCGCGCTTAACGCTTGCTTCTCGTGTCGCGAGAAATCTCTCTCGTCACCAGCTCGCTCGTATGTCGCAGGACATAGACTTCACTTTCCAACTTCCGTTGCCCGAGATGAAAGTCGCCATAGCCGACCGCTGATGATTTATCCGCCGCTTTAGCAAATATGGCGCGTCGCCAGAAACGCCTTATCACGTTGTCCTACGCGGCGAAATCTCGCCGATTCGCCACCGACCGTCCCGTAATCATCTCGCGGCAGTTATCAGCGACTCGTTAAGCGCTTCGCAAAAAGCGTTTTCCGCAATCTCCTAATTCATTGCTGTGCAAGTTCAATTTATCTGATTTACATTGTAAGTGTAATTTTTATTTAATTTATAATATTGTAGAATATTTTTTTAAAGAAATTTTTCCATTCGTATTTGCTGGATTTGCGTTCAATTTTCAGAAATCGATCTTTAAATGTTTATCAGCGCGCGCGCGGACGGCTGATGACGGCTATTAAGTCCAGTAAAACCTCGGGAGCTGAATGAATTTGCGAACTCCGTAATTCATCGAGGATTCCTCCGATTGAGAAAGACTTGATTGCAGGACTCGTTTAGCATACATCAAAAATGCAAATTCGTGCTGTACTTGCGATCATTCGCGAATAATGTAACTCGGTGCAGATTTGTTATTTATTCACAATACGCTTAGCGAGACGTTCACGTTCCAGCATTAAAAGTTTGATTCGACATTTGAGAAGAAAAGTGAGGACTAATGAAATGTAGACGGGTTCTCGAAGTTGAAGTTGAGCCTCGTCCCGTTTGTTAGGTGCGATCGCACGCGATTCGAATTGCAAACGCGAGAGAAGGAAATATTTTGCGCAAGTGATATTGCACATCGTTTTTGCCCGTATCGTGATCTCTGGCTTATCTAACAAAGAGATGAGAGTAAACGCGATCTTAGAATAGCGGAGATTGCAGATCTTCTTCATCGTCCTCCTCGTCCTCGTCAATTCCGGGCTCGCCGAGAGCATGAACGAATTCTGAAATTAAAAGAATTATCGATTCTATTAGATGTAAAACAATCAAATCTTACATTGTAATCCTTTTAATTTTGCGGCAAGAGAAATCATTCCACAGCGGTTTATTGTTTCTAAAAAATACATGCGCCTTTCTTCTTTTTTATTTTCTTCGAACTTTTTCAACAGCTTTTGCTCGCATCGTATTTTTCTCAAGAATTGCACTTTCTTCCAGTTTTAGGTACAAGTCCATCGATCATCGTAAGGATGGATCATACTCGCCAGTAGAAATTGAAATCTCTTTTTCACCGTTGCTTATCTCATAAAAGCAATACGAAACGAAAGAAATATCTTACCGTAGAAATCAATTCGGCCGTCCCCATCCACATCGACTTCTTTAATCATATCTTCGACTGAAAGCAAAACAAAATCGGTTTATATCACGTAACCTGTTTTTTTTTTTTTTTTTTTCCGCTATTATTAGGTCGTTTAGACGCTAGATATAAATGATTCGTTGCTCGGATTCAAAGGGACTTACTTTGAGAGATTTAATTTAGCTAAATTTCTGATATATGCACATTTCTGTATTATCGCGCCGATCGCGAATATATTGCGCATTTTCATGCAAGAAATCGTGATAGGAATATTCATTCACAAATCCTTCGGGTTTTTTATACGAAAATGCGCGTACACTCTTGCGGTAATACAATTAATGTCTTTACTATATGTTCATCAATTGGATTAATTCGCATCACGAGTGCCGGGAGCGCGAGATTCCGAGAAAAATATTGCCGATATATACCCTCATTATTTCCACGTAGAATTTATTGCCACGAAAAGGAATGAAGCCGGACTACGGTACGTTGGCATTCGAGGAATTTTCTTGAAATGCCTTCTTCAAATTTCCAAAATTAATCGTAGTAATAGAAAATTTCATGTTTTTAATTAAAGATTATTATTGTTATTATTAGATTTTTTTTTTCACTCGAAACTAGAGGATCACTTCTGCAATCACTCGTTTCACTCAATAGAAACGTAATGCTAATAGAATTTTTCATATTTTTCACTCGCAGCGTTGCGTCGGTCATATGAATAGGCAAATGTGAAGCAGCGGAAGAGGAGAAATGGCAAGCTCACTGGAAATACAGAGGTAAACTATGAGTCGATTGTAAGCCATGTCGAATATAATCATTTAACAGGAATACGTAACATAGCAATCGTAACATAATTTATAAACTGCAATCTCTCGCCAATTGCGGCGATTGTTCGGCGAACTCCATGCGATTTAGCTTAAACTGATTGCGGCCAATCAAGAAACTTGTGCCTGGTCGTGCAGAATTATCAAATCTACTATCGACTGAAGTAACTGAAGTTTCTCGATGGACACTCATGATTCTTCGATGTCTTCGTCCAAAAGTTATTTATTTTTGCGTCTTATCACTGAAATGACACATACAATCACGACGTATAATTTAATTCGCATTTCAAAAATTCGTAGCAGTTTTAATTTTGTCCTCAACACTCTTCGCGACGTAATAAATTATAACTTCGAATTAATGTAACTATCTTCATAATATTTCTCGTATTCCTTGCTTAGTTTTACGAAAGCATAACTAATTAACGAATCGCTGTAGCGCAAATTGTAGCGCGCAAAAATTGCACTTATTCACAAAGAGTTAATTATTTTTTTAGAAGCTTCGTCAAATATACTTTTGCGTATACTTTATCACATTAGAGAGACTGCGTCAAAGAGCGATTAACATCTTATGAAAGAGTTTCAGCCGGAGGGAAATGCCCGAGTGAGACGCGAGTTTTTTTTATCAATGCCGTCCACTTTTACCGTTATTAATATCGTCGTATTCATGCAGGCGCCCACATGTATCGCAAGTCAAAACGTCATTCTTCAAATAGTGAAGCATCGCTATGGAAGTGATAGATGCGAGATATATTGCGATCCGGAAATTTGCAAGGCGGCTCAATCAACACGATGTCACGTCGCGATTAATACACAACGTCTGAAAGAGAACGTATTCGCAACTACTTACAATCTGTTACGAATTGCGTTAATGAGTACTGATAATGCGTTTTTCCGAGAACTATACAAGCTCACAATAGTGTTATGTAAACAAATATAACAATAAATTCTATAAAACAAACTTTATATTTTAATTTAATATTGCGTAGAATTTTAATCTATCTCGGAGGGTATAAATGTACTATTTGTGTTTTCCGACGCTGTATTCACAATTTGTGGAAATCGTCCATTTATTGATAGTTAATTGAAAATACGTCTTCGAAATGGTTCATGTAATCCTACGGTAATAACCGCAGAATAATCGATATTGTGACAGATTTGTCTCGCACGACAGAGCGTTTATGGTGCGAGTGATTTTGTTGAGTTCTGATTGCTCGCTTTATCTGTACCAAATACTTGATTGCGAATGTGGGTAGAAAGCTGAAATTTTCTCCCAGATCTGAGATTCTGGAAAAATAATTGTAAAGCACTAAAGGCGCGGTCTAGATATACGCGATAAGTAAACAGAATTAGGGAATCCAAGTTTTGTGATTCCGTGAGAAAATAAAGAACTAAAAGTGTTGAAATAATAATGTAGCTCGAAAGGAATCATAATTGAAAAATATTACATTTTTTTGCCAAAAAAACCTAAAGCTATTTATTACACTAAAAGCAGTGTACAACATCGTTCTATTTCATCAAGCAAAACTCGATTAATTTTCAGCAAATTAACTTGACAAAATAGATCATTAATTTTAATCTTGTAAAGTAGGTATTTTATTAAATAGCAAACCCGTTTATTTCGGCGCAATATTGTCTCGGAATGATTTAAAATCACTTGCTTCTCTAAAATTACGAAATCGCATTTTGCTTACTTGAAACTATACTTGTAAATTCACGTTATTTTCAGATACGCAATCGTCGACTGACGATTGTCATTGCAACATCAATATCAACTTTTACAATTATAGCGAATAATGAGAATAAGGTTTTGTTCGAATAATAAATTAAATAAAAATTTATTCGAATAATGTCTCTAATTCTGCCACAAAGTACGCTTTCTGAAAATCAATCGTCCTTAAGTGTGCCAATTCGAATAAAAATAATCCACTTTAGTTTTTATTATCAAAGTTCCTAAAAAAGTTTCCCTTATCAAAAGTATTTCGAAGCAATGATGTCGATGGAAGCCCCGTAATCGTGTCACGTCCGTCGCAATAGGTCCCATCGGTGTGAATGCGTTAATAATTAATACTTACTTTCCTCTTCAGAGAGATCCTCCCCCAGGCATTGCAATACCGCTCTGAGGTCCGACGCGGTGATATATCCACGATTATGTTTGTCGAATACCTGTACAGCAAATAAACAGAAAATTATTTGAGTCTTGATCGACGAGCCATCCACATCGCTTGTTTACACTTTATGCAAGTATTTTTTTGTAAAAACTTGCCTAACAAAATGTCTAAAACGGCAGTCTTAAAAATACAGTCACGTCGTTTTGTACCAACGACTTTTATTTATGATTCCTTTGAAACGTTTGATACGAATAATCGTGAGCGTGAGAAAAATTGACATCTTTTCGCGCCACGTTTGTTATTACATCTCGCACGGTCGTTGAATTTCCACCACGATCACACGGCGACTTCTGGAGAAAAAATAGGACAAATATTATTTCTTCCGCGGAAAATATCTCTCTCCGGAGCTCGCTTTTACGATGACGAAGACGTTTCACCTGTCAGCTTTTATTTCCGCTCATTAACAAACATGAACGTTCCGACGAGCAATGTCGATTTTTTGCGAGTAAAGAAGAAAATCGGCAGAGACAGAAATTGAAGAGGTTTGGCGAGGGAGCGATTGCTCGTCCGTATTATTCATCGTATACACGATAGTCCATTCTAGTAGCTACAATTTGTACAAAATCGAAGCAAACAGACGCGAATCGAATCGCTCGAATCCTTCTCGAAATAGAATTGGGATTGATGCTGCGTCAGGGAATTGCTCTCTTCAAAACGTTTACGTCTGGTATCAACACGATCACTTACGTTGTACCGGCCACACAACGTCCTGTTCGATGATGCTTCGAAGCACCGTTTAAAAATGTCAAATCCATCCGAGAGTCGTTCGTGAAAATATTCACTTCCGTTTCATCTTAGATTGTCGTGTAATTACAATGGAGCGCTTTGTGGCGTTTAATGTGGAAAGACAATGCGGAAACATGGTTGCACGTTATATTACCAACTCGTACGAGCATCGCCGGCTTGATTCACCCAGCTTGTGCAGTAACATTAACGAGAAGTTATTGCAAGTACGGTAGCTTAAAAATGCGTTCGCAATCTCCTTGTTCGCGTCCGATACCTGTCCGAGTAGCATGCCTTTTGTCCCTTTGTGGACCCAAAGAGGCTTACCCTAAACATTGAAGTATCGCTGTCCCGTGCACAATTCGAGAAGATTAATTTTGCAACATGTGTGCTTTGCAAACAGTGAACTATTACAAAACTTTACTTTTCGTATTCGCGTTTAGATTTATACCAGGTAAGTCAGCAATTGTGATACAAAGAGAATAAAGGAGATCTTTTCGGCAAACTGATTGAAATCGTGGAATAAAATTTCTCATACGAGATTTTATTTTTTCGAAACGATTGGTTTTAAGAATTGAAAAAATTTATATTTTTTACTGTTACTTCAAGTTTAATAAATATCTAAAAATTATAAAAGCTCTTATAATACAAAGATCATACGTCACAAATCGATTTGAAGATTATATAAATTCAAAAAATAAGAATATATAAAACTTTAGCTAAAATTTACATATAAAACTTTATCGAAAACAAATTGTCGTGAAAAAGTATCACAATTTCAATTCATTTTTGTAAGAGAAATAATAAGCCTTTTTTAAACCACGATTACTGATTTGTTTCATATATTTTGTACAAGTGTAAAATTTAAAAAATAGAAATATATAAAGTATATATAAAATTTTGAAATATATTAAAATATGAAATAAGCAAAATAAATCTTTACTGTTTCGCTCAATTTGAATTTCAGAACGGACATCTGCATATTTCATGCAGAGATCCGTAAAACAATCGATAAACTGCATTAGCCGGTTTATAAATATATCCTCATATTTCTATGTTTATACATGTGTTACGATAACAGAAACTATATGCCAAAGTATATTTTCGTAGCGTGAGCGCAAAGAAAACACGGTAGACAGGCAGATATTTGTCACTTTTCCTCGGTGGAAATCACCGAAGCGATTCCGTTTCCGACGAAAGTCAGAAGAGAAAGTGTCGTCCTCCCAAGGAAATGGGAAATAAAAAGTAGGAAAAATGTCGTCGAGGAGGAATCGTCGTAACTGACGTCTCAACTCTCGTCTCGTTCTCATAACACGGACGACCATTCTGGTCACGTTTCCCTAATATGCCGATGTTGGCCGAAGGAAATTGCAATCGGACGATCGTTATAGCAATTAGCAAATCATTTAGCTCAGTGACTATTCGATCGCTCTGACCAATCAACGTCTTTGACCAATCACAGCTGTTTATATTAACGTCATTCTTAGAATTGTGCATTTGCAGCATTATAATTATCAATTCAATTGTCGCAATTAATTAATTACAACTGTAATTATTAACGAAATTAATTAATTGTAATGATCAATTGCACGGAAAAGTCGCACCAAATTCCAGTGTAAATACATTTTTCTGTTTCAAAGAAGAGAAATCGATATTTGCCCACACGAACTAAGGAGAAAAGTAAATGATGATTTTGCTTGTAAAATACACTTTAGGTGTCGCGTGTTATGTACGCTTGGACAGGACGTTCGTACAGATTTATGGCCCCAAAACGTGTATCTGCATGTGAGAGGTGTACTGTTGGCTTCTTCTTGTCAAAGTTTTCATTCTGGACGGGTACACCGACGGATTATACGCAAATAAATCATTTGCTTTACTGCCTTGGTAATACCACTTGTCTGATAAGAACCGGAGAAGAACACGCTGCGCGATTAGCCATTCATTACCATGATAATGCGGACTAAGGAATTTCTTATATTTTCTTTTTTCCGGAAGCGAAGTTTTCAACGTGGAACTGCTCGCGCAGCATCTCACCAGCACCAAATTCTCGCGAGATATGTTTTTATTAATTTTATTTTTCACGTCTCTATTTCAAAAGTTGCCGAGTTTTGAACTTCTTGCTGAAAAACCTCGGTATTTATCTTCTTACCATAATTCGTAATGCATTAAAATTTGAATTATGGGACTTTCCGAAAGCAATGAGTGACATCGGTTGCTCTAGTTTTATGAAATTTATATCACGATTGTGGAAATCCCCGAAGGTGTACAATAACAGACGCAAGATTAAGATGGCTGCTTTCTATCATTAATCATCTCGTTTAATAAATTTATATATTCACACACACACACACACATAAATGTATTTTCTATTTTTTTCCTATTTTATACTGATAAATAATGATATTTTTGAATATAGGTTTTATTTTATCTTTTAATATAGTCTTACATTTTTTATTTTAATTTTCGCTATTGTAAACGTATATTCGTTTAATGTATAAAGATGCTTATGTGATGCTACTGTGATCGTACAAAAAGGCTTGTGCCGCCACACTTGCTTACGGTAGGATTGCGTCGAGAGCGGTTAAACGAGAAAAACTGTGCTTTTCTAATTTTGAACGATTTTATTTGTCTTCCGACTAGATTCGGTCGCTTCACAAGTTATAGTAGTGTCTATACTAAAAACTGCGTACGTGCTCGCGCTAAGAACGACAACGGTAACGAAACGCGTAAAAATAAAACTGATAATTTATGGATAACGCGCTACGGAAACGCGCGCGAATATGAAATAAAAAGTATAAATATAATACACGGTATTCGTGTATCGTACATTATGCGTGAATTTTGTTGTTCTCATCCAATGTTTGCATAGTCAAACCTAACAAACAGTGATACCAGTTACTATACAAATCTTCATTGACTCTTTCGCACCTCTCGTTCGATATTGCCTGCAGCAAATGCACTTGATTGCCATTATTTGTTTTTGCACACTCGCATTTGTTCGCGGCTCTATTCGTTCGTTTTTCTCCTTTTATCGCGCAGTTACGCTGTATTCGCTTTTTGCACATTGTTTACTCTCTTTTGTTGTCTAAGGGAATTGTTGTTGCGGATTTTTAAGCCGTTTCGCTCCACGTATGCATTCTTGCCGCGTTTATCTTGCATTTGATCTCTTTGTTGCAGGGATTGTTTTATCCTTTTTATCCTCGCAATTGGAAGGCTTCCGCTAAAATAGTTAAAATCGGTACACTGTTAATAACAATCGATGCGTTTTCGGATAAAAAGGCTCTTGTAAAAATCGCGGGCTTGATATAAGATAAATTCCGCTCAGATTGCAGACAATATTGTTTGGATATTAGATTTTATGAGAAATCACGAGCTCGGGTATTATTTGCAATGTAATCTCGTCTCTCATGCGAGAACTTCTCCCTCTTCTCTCTTCTCGCGCCATAAATCTTATTATCTATCCGCGATACCCTTCGGCAGGTTGCGGTTGAGTCTTTCACCCCTCCCTTTTACAGGCCCCTTCGAGTTGCTCTTCCATTTCGGCCGCTTGTTTTCCACCCTTTACATGTTTCCCGTGCTTTCTCTTCTTCGCTCCACCCCCGCCTTACGTCTTTTATTTCAGATATGGCATTACAATCTGGCATCGTCACGGTGGCAGTTGGGATGCGGAGATTAAAATATCGACTTGGTAACTAAATTACGTCGTATATTTGACTTCGATGCCCTGATTATTAAACACTTTAGCGAGCTATGTAGTTGCAGCAACTTTTCGTTGTTGTGTGTAAGAAACTTTAAGAAATTTTATAATTAAAAAACTGTCGCAGCATTTTCAAGAATCTAATACGTAGTATATTTCTGATAATTCTTCGATGAAATTTCGCAAAATAAAAATAAAAACCGATCTAAAATTTTTTTATACTTAAAATTTTATATTTAAAATTTTTTTATATTTTTTAATTAAAAAATTTTTTTTTGTATAAATTAGGGTTTCTAACAAATATTTCATATGCAACGATTCAAACTGACTAGAATAGAATATATTTCTTCATTGATAAGATCATAAAGTGAGAAATAAAAAGACTCCGCCCCCCTAAGATTGTTATCGTAAGATTGCGAAACATCTCGATAATTCTGCCACCAAACTGTCACCGAAACAAATTTAAATTTCTACACGTGCCGTTGTAGGTTCAATAATACGTACACGTGCGCCTAAGAAAAACGGAGAAAAACCCGAAGGGTTGATTTACATAATTCGCGCAGATAAGGGAAAAC